GATCACTACCTTGCAGGCAGCAAGGGGCAAGAAGGATCGGTCCCACACTCCTAGTGTTGGCTGCATTTACCATCTGTCCACTCCTGCCTCCTTTACTTGTTCAGTGCCTCTTCTCTCTCCCCACTATCTGTCTGCCATTAAACAGAGAATTAAAACCACAGAAATGATAGAAGCACATAGTCACTGACTGAGAATTAATTTGCAATTAAAGGCTTTATTTCATAAAATTGTTTTTAAAATTAGAACCCTTCTTAAATCATAACTTCAGGAAAGCTATAACAATTGGACATAAAAATTCAAACTGAAAAATACTCATATATCATGATTTGATTGTCTCAAAGACTAAAATTTTCATATAAGTTTTCAACCAACCAACCACTAAATTCTGTTCTCTGTTCTTTGGAACCTTGTTCTATTTATACTGTTTCAAAAAAGTCAGAGATTGGAAAAATGGATCAGGTAGGCAGTAATAGGGATAAAGAGTTTTTCAAATTATTTCTAATACAAGAAAGACACCATTTTAATTTCAAAAATTCTGTAACTTTGTGGGCCGAGCCCATGGCGCACTCGGGAGAGTGCGGCGCTGGGAGCGTAGCGACGCTCCTGCCACGGGTTCGGATCCTATATAGGCCTGGCCGGTGCGTGCGCTCGCTGGTTGAGTGCGGTGTGGGCGACACCACACCAAGGGGTTGCGTTCCCCTTACCGGTCACGAAAAAGACAAAAAAAAAAAAAAAAAAAAATTCTGTAACTTTGCAAAAAGATAAAGCCAATACTTAAATTTCACTTTCCTGAGAAACATACTCTCACAATGTAAAAATTTTCAAAGGAGCATAACAAAGCAATATAATGAAAAGTGTATATGCAAGAAACCATCTCTGAGAGGTATTTCACTTTCTAGCAACAAAAAATATAGTCTTTCTAAACATAAACACAGTTTAATTTTGCTTAAAGATAAATTGACTCAATAATACATGAGTTACATAGCAGAATAACACTCTTTCAATAAAAGAACAGAACTGGAAAAGCAAAACAAAATACTCAAAAACATGCCGATTTGGAATGGCAACCCAAAATAAATTACAGACAGGCTCAACATCCATAGTTGATTAGTGGCAGAGCTAGGATTCACACCCAGGTTTCCAAGATCTTCCTCTAATTTTTATTTCTACTATAGATTAAGCTGTCATTTGAAAGGCTGTTTTCCCTCAAAGCTCAGCACTTCACTCATACAATGAATTGGCTCTTATAATGCACTATCTTTACTGTCAATTCTGCTTATATGACTCCCCAATTTCAACTTAATTACAAGCATGTTTTAAAAACAAAGTCTTATATTCAACACTTAATATGCGTTAAATAGTTGCTCAAATTGATCAATAAAACCAATTAATCAAGTGTTCAGGTTTCTTAAAAATGTGTGTGTTTTATACATATATAAAATATATCATTTCATACATAAGTAAGAATATATGTATATACCTCATATTCTCAAACAATAAACATTTAAATTAGCAACAAAAAGAAAAAAGAGAAAATGAAGCATGAACAAAATGTTTATCATAGATTTAAAGGCAAATGATTCCTAAAAGAACACGGTAGAAAGCTACTGTGAAAACTACTAAGAGTTTTTGTTGGAGTTGCCACCTACCAGGAAACTGTGACACTATTGGGGGTGTGTCTTCATCTAAGTCATCGACTCCTCCAGCAATTGGATAGGGTGGAATGGAGACTCTGGGCATCACCACCCAGCTGTGATCAGAATAAAGGGAAGAGGTCAGGCTGGGGAGTCCCGAGTTATGGGCTATCTGAAAGCCACAGATCTTCTCAATCTGTTGCCAGCGAAAAAGTCGTTCTCGTAAACAAGTTGTCAACTCAGAGAGCGCTTTCCTGGAAAAGCCAATATAGGAATTACTTGTTGCATCAAAGAGTCTTTAATATGGCACTGAAAAAAGGCAATTATATGAAAAGTCCATGGCAATTAACTAATTTCAAGAAGAAATTACATACTTTTAGAATTAGTGTAAGTTATGTAATTGTATATGATAAATGATAAATTTAAATATGAATTGTCTATAAATTACTCATTTCAACACAATAGCAAATAAAGATAGCTAAAATAGCATTCTTACTTTGCTTCCAGAATTTTGTGGTCTACCTCATCTAGGGAGGAGCTATGTGCAACATGCAGAGTTCCAAAGACTGTGCTTCTCTTCTTTTTAATTTTTTCTGCCTAGAAACCCAAGGGGAGAAAAAAGGGCTAGGTCTGAAAAAAAAATACACACATACTAATAAAGTTTATTTTGTTTTCAATCTATTAATAATCATAACACCAGGGGATATAGCTGAGATACAGCCCTGTTTTCCAAGAAAGAAAATAAACAAGAAAGCATGCTTTCCTAAGCCAAACAACGTAATTCAAAACTTTGCTCTGGAGAATTTTCCTTGTATTTCTATGGTTCAGAAGACCTGAATCTTCTATTAAAATGAACAGAAAAAAACATTAACTATATCCTACCGCAATGGAAATGTTAGTGAGTAAACTGATATTTTTGTTGTTGTTTGCTAGAATTCAGAATAAGACTTATTGACACAATTTAATAAGTGTCAAACATTAATTTCTAGTAATTACTAACCTGAATCAGATATGAAGCAGCAACCTAAAGGAGAAAAACTCTGTATAAAACATTTATGATAATTACAATGATGATTTTAAATGACACTGAAGTCATTTTGAAAGGTATATGCTTCTCCAAATACAATAATTTTACTTTAAAACCTATGATTATGAAAGCAAATTTACACAATAAGTTCCAATTCAATAAAAAGAATCTGTGATAATAAAACTTTTATCCAGATCTTTGTTGATTAATCGTAGAATGCAGTGTAAAAAACAAATTTAGCTAATTTTGAAATATAAGAGAGTACCTCATCCTTAGCAATAGCTAATTGCATTTCGGCATTTTGTCTTTTAATATTGTAGTACTGTACTTCTACTTCATGTGTTAATTGAAGCCATTTTTGAAGTGAATCTGGAACAGACCAGCTGCTTCTCAGTTCAAATTCTTTTTCAGCCTTTTTCAGAGCCATGCGAACCTGGAAGAAGGAAGGGAGGCAGGGAGAGAGGAAGGAAGTAAGGATTAAAAATATTTTTTGTTAACAAAACTAAAAGAAAAAGAGACAGGGAGAGAGGAAGGAAGTAAGGATTAAAAATATTTTTTGTTAACAAAACTAAAAGAAAAAGTAATTTAAATTAGGCTCTTTGTACACATCTTTTTAAGTAACCAAGTCTAAATGCAATATATTTCTAGCATTAAAATAAGGCTGCAGCATGGTTTTGATGACCCCAAGGTTCAGGGTTCAATCCCAGTACTGGCCAGCCACCAAAAACAAACAAAAAAAAAA